CCATATGTTGGCCTTCAGTATGCTGAGCATTTACTCCTGTGGAGACGGATGCTTTCACTGGAGAGACCAAGGGCAGAATTATCCTCGGCATGTCCATACCTTGAGGTGGTTTGAGCTCCTATACTCTCATAGCCAGGGTAATTAGCAAGTGCCACCAAGTAAGAGGGGTGGGGCTGGATGCTAAATCATCTGGAGTATTGTCCTCAAGTGTGCCCACAGCTTCTACTTCCATCCAGTACCTTTGAAAATTTTGCTCTGGGTCTTCCCTTGATGAGGTTTGAGGATGTTCCCAGGGGAGCGTATGCGCACATTAAAATTCAAGCACTCGGGAAGATTCATTCAACGTAGTCACAGGGGCAGGTCCTCGGCAAGAGCTCAAGATCATTGCCCGGCAAGTGGAGCAGCGCCCTGTAATGTCTCTTGTATTTATTGAAGCATCAGGCAGGAAAAGCGTGGTGGGATCACAGGCTGGGCTGGCTGCTTTCGTATTAACGTTGTATGTTAAAAACTGCTTGTGAAATATGTGTCTTATTGATTTAAAAACAGGTTTACGTTACTGGAAAAAGGGGTGATCATGCTAATTCAATCACTGAAGACTCAGGAGGACAGAAGTCTTTTTATATTACTTTAACTAGCCATGTGGAGCAGTAATAATGTCATTCCTTGTCAAAGCTGACAGCTGATGACATTGTGTAGTCCTCAGCAGGTAGTGTGGGCTGCTTCCCCTTGGTGAATCCCAGACTCTGTTGGTGTTTGAACAGGGCCACGGAGAGGTGTAACTGCAGGGGCAAATTGCATTTAGCACACCGGAGCTGTGGCATTCGTCCCTGTGCTCGTCTGCCGCTCAGAGCCTCCCTGCTTCAGGGTGACGGCCGCTCTCTGGGCCCATTTCCAGCATCCTCAGCAGCATACCCGCTGTGGGCTTGGGGGTTCCCAGGCTCTTCTTTCTGGGATTTAGTTTCCTTCATCAGAAAAATTAGTTGGGTTTTTATTTTCCTCCCAGGGGAAACTATGGATTGGGTCCTGCGGAGCCTGCTGCAGGGAGAGGGGTGCTCCCTGAATCCCCTCCAGTGTGCTGGAGCACAGGATGGGCAAGGGGGCTGTGATGGGTCCACGGCGGCGGCTTTGGCAGAAGGGGTGCTCGCTGGGCCTGCTGAAAGAGCTTGGGGTGCTCCTTGGTGCAAGGGCAGGGTGGTCTGGGGTCTGAGCACCGTAAGGGTGGTGAGGCAGTGGCAGAGGTTGCCCAGAGAAGTGTTCAAGGCCAGGTTGGATGGGGCTGTGAGCAGCCTGGTCTGGTGGAAGGTGTCCCTGCCCAGGGCAGGGGGTTGGACAAGGTCCCTTCCAACCCAAATCCTCCTGTGATTCTGTGATCCTGTCTGCCCCTCGTGCTGTGCCCAGGACGGGCCGAGCCCAGCTGGCTACCTGCAGCACCCAGCCCCTGCCTGTACCCATCCTGCCCGAGGGCTGAGTGTGCTCAGACCCTTCCGCTCGGGAGAGGCTCAGCGCTGGGGCTGAGCCTGGGTTTGTGGTGTGGCCAGGGAGCGGCTTTGGTCCCATGGAGGGCTCGGTCCCCGTCAGTGTAGGCTCTGCAGCCCTGCGAGGGCTGGGCTGGGCACTCCTCACCGGGAAGGGTCTGATGAGGACCTGGATGAGCAGAGGGAACTCGGGGAACCCTTGCTGAAATGACTTTGTGATGACGAGACAACTGCTGTAAAGAGAGATTAGCAAGATCAGTCCCTGGCTGACAGCCTTAATTATGAAATTAGCAGCTTTGCTTCTGGGAGACTGTGGGTGGCTTTGTACTGGGGAGAATGGCTCTCAGTGGCTTCTTGACTGAAGCTGTGCTGTCTTCTGCACCGGAGACTCACCCAAGCGCTTGGTTGCCACCTTCATCGTATCGTGTCTTCAGGACACAAACAGAGGAAGACAACAAGATGTCGAACATGTTGGCGTCTTGTCTACCGTACAGGCTACTGCTTCTGTCCGGCCCTTTTGCAGACAGGGCCTTCGGAGTGGCACCAGGACGCAGAGCATCTCCTGTGAGTTCATAGCAGCTGCTGTTGAGCCTCCTGGTCTGCAGGAGAGAGGCTCAGACCCAGGCGCTCAGCTGGAGGTTACCTCTGAGGATGCCGGAGAGCAGCAGTCCCTGCAGGAGCTTTCACAGCATCTGGTTGTGCTTGGAAATGAGGTCCTCACGCTTACTCCTTTCCTTGTCTCTGCCCAGGGCTTTTCCCAGCCTCTGTGTGTCCAGTCTTTGGAGAAACGTAGCTCTCTGGGTGTCCATATGGGTCACTGATGCCACTGTGAGCCCCGTTCTGTCTGACCGAGCTGTGAGACTTGCTCTTGCTTCAGCAGGCACGTGTTTGGCTACATGCCTTGAGCCAGATCTCCGCTCCTCTGCCCCGCCAGGACAGACTGCAGCGGAGGATGGAGAGCAAGCACCGAGCTGCGGCAGGACCACAGGGCTGCCCAGGGAGCATTGCTGGGATGCTGCGCCAAGCCCTGTGCGAGCCCCTGGCATCGCCTGTGAGCCCCTGGCATCCTCCTCTCCCTCCTGCCATCGCCTCCTTCTCTCTGCCATCCCCATCTCCCCCTCTCCGCCATGTCCCCCTCCTCCTGCCATCCCCATCTCCTCCCTGACGGCAGCGGAGGACCCGGGTACCAGCACCCGCTGTGTCGCGAGCTCTATTGACAGTTATCCAGAATCTGAAGGAATTCAAGACAAATTGTTAAGAGGATGGAGTTAATAAAATTTGAAAAATTGAGGCCTGTCACTCTACTAAACTTTTTTCGATACCGCTGACAGAAACATATTTCCCCAATGAGTGACCTTATGCAGCTGCTCCAGCGACGCGACGCTGCGCGGATGCTGGGAGTGAACCAGCGTGCTATTTATCAAATATTATAAGCCGGGGCCTCCTAATATGAGGAGGGAGGTGTGGGAGGAGGCGATGGACTCGCACAGCCCGAGGTGTTGCCCAGGTGTCGATCTCCAGCTACAGACAGCTAGTGGGAGGTGACAAATTGCCTTCTATTAAGTCTCCAAAGGTTGGCGTCCCCTCCGCCGCCGCCCCAGCCAGCTGCCGGGGTGGGAGAGGGCAGGGGAGGCGGTGGGGATGGGGAAGGGGGTCAGGCCGGGGCGCTGACGAACCAGTCGCCACTTTTACCTTCTATTAGCAAGCAGAGTGACACCGTTATTTATTGCGGCGTAATATTTTATTGCTGCCGGTACTCCAGGTTGGAATCGACCAGTTGTAGGAGTCGGGTTCTATCAATTATTGCAGCAATTAGTCAAGTCGTCAAAGCCATTAACAGGGGGATTAGGCCAATATTGGATAGCCATTATTGATAGATCCAGGGGAAGGGAAAGCCAAACAAACCCTCAACCTTCATCTGAAATGAGAGCAGGCCTAGCCTCGAGGATGTCATCATTTGGAGAAGCCGGAGAAGTTGCCCCCCTCCTCGCTGCCCAGAGGAGCGCGGACCCGGGGTGGGTTTCGGCAGCGGGGGGGGCCGTGGGAGCACTGTCTCTTTAAAAGATATTGAGTGGCCGGCCTCAGCAGTATATAATCTCACCTGTCTCGATCATATTCTTTATTTGCAACGACAAGGCTTGCAATAGAAATTACTCTGTGTCGAATGTTTATGGAGCACATTTTTCATTCTGTAAGCAAATATAGATCCCTGATGCCAATGCTTAGAAATGGCTAATCTCCCCGGCTCCCGCTCGCAGAGTCCTCGCCCTTCTTTCCTATATTATGATTGCTGCTGGCTTTTATTGAGCACTCCTGGTGCTCTGCGCTCTCCTGCGCCGTAGAAACAGAACCTGCAGCTTGGTTTGCTTGTGCCACAGTACCCGCTTCGCTCCCGTGTTTCCAGCGGGATGGAAGACGTTTGCCGAGCCCCTTGCAGAGCAGGATGCTGTAGCAGTGCCCAGGACTCCCGTTTTTCGCAGTCGTGCATGGGCCCTTCCCAGCAGCTCATCACCGCCGTCCCCTCTGTTTTACAGGCGAATGAGCCAGACTTACTGAGCAGAGCTTCCTCACCAGGCTGCTTCTCAAGGTTCAATAAACGCTTCAACTTTGAAACGGGCAGGATGGTCAGCTCAAGCACCGGCTTGCGGGGGTTGGGGCCGATTTGAAGGGTCGTTCTCATAACCCTTGGTGTCTGGTTGGCAACAGCAAGTTGTCGTGGAGTCACAGAGCGTATGAACATTAGTGCCAAGTCCCTGTGCCTTAGAGATGTCGCCCAAGATGCTGAGAGCCAGAGATTAATCCTGAGACCTTGCCTGCATCACTGGCTACTCCCCAGTACCCTTCTCTCCTGATCTCAGGCTGCCCTGCCAGAATTCCCTCTTCGTACTTCCCATCACTGCGACTGGGACCAGTTTGACTGCACGTGTTCTTCTGCAATCCAGCGTGTCTGGGACGGGGACAGAGGACAGGGAGCTCTCTGTGCAAGTTTGTTTCTGTGAGGGTGCCCATCTGACCCCCTCCAGTTTGCTCTTTGGGGTTTGTTGACTTTTTTTAAAAACTAAATTCTCAAGAAGGGTGTGATTTTCCCCCAGCAGCCGCTCCTGTGCTTAGGGTGGCAGCTGTTTCGCAGACTACAGCCAGCTCCAGCTCCAGCTTGGAGTAACAGAGAGGACGGGCAGCGTGTCCAATTGAAGCCGCAGTGGTCCCATGTGGCTCCCACAAGCCGGGGAGCGGGTGCTTTTGTGAAGCTGTATTTTCTTCTGGTGACCATGTGCTCTCATCCCCCACAGCAGCTCTTCCCTGCCAAGCCAATTGTTAGCAGTGACAATTCCTTTTCTTCTTCCCTGGACACCCGCGCGTGTAACCGCTGGTTGTACATTGTCCCTTTCTGATCCAGATACCCTTTGGAGCAAAGGTTAGGAGGGGACACAGACTAGGACGGGAGGCACAAGATGTGCTTCCTGCTCATTCTGCCCCAAAACTGAACTCTGATCCCTGATCTTATTAATTTCTTCCTGCCATCAGGTGCCAACCCCCTGCAGAAGAACGAAATGGGACATACACCCCTGGATTATGCCCGTGAAGGGGAGGTCATGAACCTTCTGAAAGCGTCGGAGACGAAGGTGAGCCTGAGATTCAGGTGACTTTGTGTTTCCTTTCCCACCACAAAAACACTTTCAGAGAAGACCTGGTGCAAGCAATGGAGGAACACCTTAGCACACCTACACCTCCATGCTTTTTCAAAAGACATCCATATAAACTAGTGACGTGATGCATAAGGAAAAAAAAAAAAAAAAACACTTCTGGAGTATTTTAGCTGTGTCCATGGCTGTGTGCCCTCCTCTTCCATGTTAACGTTTCTTCCTCGGCAGTGACCTGCGCAGGACTGGTAATGCTGTTCTGTAACCCCTTGGCAAAAATACAGTAAAATCAGGGGGTTGGTTTTACTGTATTTTCTGAAATTCCTGGTAAAAGAACCAGGTCTGAGAATTCAGAGTCGAGTTGTGGGCCTGGGATCCACGCATTCACGCGCACCAGCCCTGGGCACACAACACCCGTTTCTGCTGTCTGGTTGTGAAATGCCCACCTCGCCCCATCGGCCTCACTCTCCTTGAGCGGGCTGGAGCACACCATGTCCCGTTTGTGAGTCGCTGTTATGAGGTTTTTTACAGAGGGAAAAGAACCACATTTGCTGTAGTGGTTCCAATAAAAACCCTAGGAATAAGTGGATTTACCGAGTAGCAGGTTATTAGACAATGAGGGATCTGCAGCCTGATGTCAAGGATTTAAAATTCCTGGGTAGGAGGCCTTATTCAAGTAGGAGCAACTAATTATCAGTCAGTAGGAGAGGCTGTCACCGCTGTGATGAGCAATGCCTCTTCAGCATCATCTCTCCAAGAATCTCAGGCCAGGCAGGGCAGTTCACCCGCTGCCCGGTGCCACCAGATTGCAAAAGCGGGAATGAGGCAGGAGGAGGCCAGGTTTGCTCATGGTTGCAGACTTGTCCTGACACTGTGCGCCTCAGAGTTTGGAATTTGCACTCGCGTGCTGGAAAACCTGAGGTTAAGAACTTGCCCACGAGTGGAAGGTGAAGGTAGTTAGAACTGTGTCATTTACTGCCCTTAGCAGATATTACCATGAATTAAACCTGCCGGGTGGTCAAAACTGCTGTACTGTCTGTGCTCACCTAGGAAAATCCTTGCTCGTGCAGGAGTTCAAAATCCCATTCCGGAATGCTAAACCTCTGTCCTAAGCAGGGAGACAGTGATCTTTCCTCCTGGGCTCTCCACGCTCCTTCACAGCGGAGGAAACCCTGACCGTGGCACTCCTCTGCAGAGCTGACGGCTTCTTGCGTTCGCCAGAAGCACTGCTTGGTCGCTTGTACTGTTCTCCAAGCAAGTTTTAAGGAAGGAAAGTTGAAAATAAAATACTTGAAATCTTTGTGAGAAGAAGGTGAGGGGGAATTATCTGCCGGGTAAATGGTCTCTGGAGTCCAGCACTGGCAAGGAAACCTGCCCCTAACAGTTGGAAAAGCTGCGTTGGTTTTTGTGCTTAACTAATGGATGGAGGAGAGAAAGGAAATATATCTAGAGAGATGTTCCTGATGAAAATGGCTGTACTTGTATATAAAACATAAGACAGTCAAGCCAGCTCGTGATGAATATGCAGCTGGGGGGGATATGGTGCTCCCGGGGTTGCATCCACCCCAGTATCTGCATTCCACCGAGAGTCTTTGAGAATTTATTGCTCATTTTAATCACTGCTAGAGAATGAATTGGCAGAACTATTACTGGATGAGCACATCCCATAGATTTTATTTACATATCCTTGTGACAGAATAACAAGGAGTTTTCATATGTATTTTTAATTTATTTTGATTTCCTTTATTCTTTAAAAAAAAAAAAAGAATTCTGCTTGTGCTTTCCCTGTGCTAGACCACACTCGCCTGGTGTTTAGGACCCTTGAGCTAGTTCCCATTGCTAAGGAGTCTGGTGAAGCTCAAATAAGCTGTCGTATCTAGGGCTAAAAGGAAGGGAGCAGCCCTTGAAATGAGTGTCCTCCATACGTAACTGGCAGACAAGCAGCCCGAGGACTGATCTCAGCTCTTACAAGTCTTTCTTTGCCCTTCAGCTCCTTTCCCCTGGGGTACTGCGCCCAGTCAGATCCGTCTGGTGGTCTCTCCTGGCTCCATCAGTGGCTGCCAAAGGATTTTAAGGAGTGTTTCAGTCAGGACAAGCACGCCGTTGCCCTTTCCTCCGGCTCCCTCCTGGCAAGCAGCGGTGTGAGGACCTCCTGAACTGGAACACGGGTCCGCCTCATCATGCTGAATCGCCTGTGATGGACCCTTTAAAGAAAACAAACATCCAGCTGTGGCTCAAGCGTAGCCTGCTTTTTCCATCCGGAACATCCTTGGGTTGTTGGTTTAAGCATATTTTATGAGAGAAATGTCTCTCTTGGTTGTTTGCAAAGTGTCTGTTTGTTGAGCCGCACACAACCCTGTGTGTAGAGTCAGGGGCAGAGCAGCCTGGCAGTGAAAGCCGATTTTGTGCTTTCTCTAAACCCACAAGAATTACCTCAGGACGGCGTTTGCCCTTCCCGCAGAACCACTCTGCAGCTCTCCAAAGGCTGTCGTAGCTTAGTTCATGTCCCTGACGTTCTGCAGCTGACCAGAAGTTTATCATCCTGCTTTGCTTTAATCTTTTAAATTCCTTTTCCTGTAAAGCGAAAGACACTGTCCCCTCCACATCTGCAGGTTTTATGCGAAGGTTTGGTTCTGCTGGTGCAGTGCTTTTGATCCTCTTCCCTCTGAATATTTTCCCGTAAATGCAGTCATGCTTGGGAGGGATGCCATGCTGGATAATGAATAACGAAAGGTGATGAACACGATTGCCGTGCCCATCTCGGTGACAGGCGGCCAGCTGTTATTATCTCAAGGTGAGGACTGCCAAAGCACGGGTGGAGTGAATCTCTTATTAAAAATTAACATCTCTCATGCTTCTGGCATCGCATCAGGAGAATCTCTTAGCCCAGGTGAGCGCAGGAGTTTGGTTGCCTTCAACAGGAGGGCAGAGTACCGCTCCTTGCATTTCTTTCAGGGCACGTAACACGGCCGTAATCTGCTTACGTGCCAGTGATGTGCTGTAAAAGTTCCTTCAGGAGTAAAGAAGGTCAGTTGTCCGGGGTGGGGACAGGGTCCCCGCTGCCACCATTTCACACCGCAAGACAGGAAAAGGCGTTCCTTTCTCCAACTGCTGGTTTCCTCAACACCAACGCTGAGGACTGAAGTCCAACGCATTCTTTGTGGCTGCCTCCTCGGCAGAAATGTCCGGCGGGAGCAAGACCCAGCTCAGATGTGCTGCTCCAGCTGCCCCCGGCACCAAGACAGCAGAGAGGAGGTGGGAGAAGCTGGATGCGTACCTATGCAGGAGGATGGAGGGGGCAATGGAAGAGAAGGGAGCGAAAGCTTGTGTCTCGTGTAAAATCCAAGATTAGTGTGGCTTTTTATTGCAGGTTGTATCCCAGACTGATCCAAAATATGTTTTTCTGGGTGGATTTTTCTCGTTCCAATGTCCCCACTCGGTGTGGGTTGTGACGGCTGCTCGGGATGCGCCGGGCCGGCAGTGTGACCTGACTGCCAGATGCCTGGTGGCCCTGCGGCTCTGCCGAGGAGGTGGCACATGGGAGGGCAGGTCTCTCCGGGACAGAGGGGGACAGCTTGGAAAAAGCACCGTAACTAGTGCAGTCTTTTCATCATGAAAGGGACTTTCTTCCTACCCAGGGACTTTTACAATATTGGTTTTCCAAGGAGGGAGGGAGAGGGCGTTGTGGAAGAGAGGCATCCCCTCCTGCTCTTCGTGCATGTCCTCCCCTCTCCGTGTGTGAATCGCTTGGTATCCTGACAACACAGATCATGTCCTCTGTGCCTTAAGAAAGGCAGAAGAGGAGGGAGGAAGAAAAGATTTGTCAAGATATATAGAGAGACACAGATAGATGGCAAGAGCAGTGCTTGCAGCCCCGTGGTGCCTGGGGGAGATCACCGCAGACACGCCGGTGTTTATCCAACAGTGTTGTTCCGCTGGGATCCGCAGGGAAGTTATTGCTCCATATGAGGCATCAGGGCTGATGGCATCTCTCCGTTACACACGAGACTGATAGCACCAGCCAAAATTGGATTGTTTGCTATTTATTTTTTTTTAACTTCTGTCAGAGTCGCTACTAGCGCAGGAAACACTGGCAGCCTGGCTGGGGGGGGGGTTTTATCCACTCCAGCTCTGGCAGCAGGATCCTGCCGCAGCTTCTGCGACCGCTTGCTGGTTTGGCTAGAGGTGTTTCCCCTTCAGGAAGGTGGGTTCAGTGGTGGGGCCAGGTATGTGTGTTAAGTTACCGACTCTGCAAACCCCGTGGGCTCTTTGTGTTCTGTCCTTAGCTAAGCCTGGCTTTGTGGGGCAGGTGTTTCCAGAGCAGTGGTTTCACTGGTGAGAGAGTCAGCCTCAGCTTGTGATGGGGAAAGGTGCTCCGCAGAAAGTTTTGCAGCATTTTCTAAAGATGAGCAGGGGCTGGATTTGTCCTCTTTCCTCTAGAAGTTCACTGCACCATAAGACCTCCTCCCTCTTTGGGGTTCTGCCTGTATTGCGTCCCTGAGCATCTCGGAGAGGTGCTTGTGTCAGATGTCTCTGTCAACTGCTCTGTGTGCTGTCTCAGCCTTCAGCTCCAGAAGATGATGTGGGTGGAAGCAATGCCTAAGTCACTGGCTCTCGAAGGCCCTGCTTCCCTGGGAGCTGGAAGTGGAAGAAAGCAAATGTCCGAGTACAGAGCTTTTTCCAGTGCCGTCCTGCGTGCTGCTGTGGGTTTGTCTGCGACGCGATGGTGTCTGACTTGCCCAACCTACACAGCAGGACACAGGGATGTTGTTGGAGGCCTTGAGTAGGAGATATGTGGAGGGTGGGAAAACAAATGTGGGTAGAATAGTCAAGGCTTTGTTTTTCAAAATAGGCAAGCTCCTAACGGATTAAGAGCTCATTCGGAAATCTGAGCAGTGTCAGTGTTCCCTCTGTGTCACCCTTACAGAAGCAGTGCGATGTCTGGTTTTCCCGTCAGCTACCCACTTCTCTCCATTCCCGTGCACTCCAGACCATTCCCCGACAGATCCAGAAATTTCCTCTTGCTTGGGCTGGTGCTTCCAGACCGAGCTGCATCTGCTCCAGCTGCTTCCCAGTGCCAGGGAGCAGTGCTCTGTCTGTCTGGGTGTCAGAGGGATACCCGTGCAGGGCTGCGCAGTCCGGCGGGGGGGAAGCTCTATGTACCTACCCCGTGCTCATGTTATTGCTCCGAAAAGCCTCCGATTCCAACGTTTTCTTCCCTTCCACAGTTCCAGGAGGAGCAGCGCAGGAGGGAGGTGGAAGAACGCCGGAGGTTTCCGCTGGAGCAACGGCTAAAAGAGCACATCATCGGTCAGGAGAGCGCAATAGCGACGGTGGGAGCAGGTAGGACCCCTTGCACACCACCTGCTCTGCCCTCCCACATCCTCTGCTCCACAGGGAAAGTGAACTATTCCCTCAAACCCTGATCTGGGGCTGCCTCCGAACAGGTCAGCGAGGTTATGGGGGGACTGGTGGTGAGGTCCAGCAGGTATTTCTTGGCTGTGAGAGAGAACAGTTGCTCTTCATCACAAGAGAGGCTGTTTCAGGCGCAGCAGCAGAGAGGAGCATCGAATGCTTCCTTCCCAGGCACTGGAGCGAGGTGCCTACAAGCCCTTTCATTCGGGATGATTTCTCCCCAGATTAAGTGTAGCGGCTCGCAGGTCAAAGCTGGTCACTGAGATGCTCGCCGCGTACCTTTGAGCAGGCAGGCAGCTCTCAGCTAAACACAGTGGCTGAACGTGATGATACTTGAACACGGAGCTGTCTTTTTACAAGATTGTTTGTTTTAAGAATATCCCTTGTTAGTAATTCACAAGCGGTTTTGTACAACTTTATGTACAGAAACCCCTTACGCACAGGCTGCTTTGGGGAATTTTTCTGTATCCCTTACAGATTTGGGGCTTCATTCCACATAAAATACAAGCACATACTTCAGCCATCCTTGCCTGGCCACGCGTGCTACGTCAGATCAAGGGCCAGTGTCCTGGCACTGGTACCAAAGCACGGGGAGCTTTAGCAAGTTATACAAGAGCAAGCAATACAGAGCGGTATTTCCCCACTCTACTCTCTCAATGTCCCTGATGTCGATTTGCAAGCCAGGAGTACCCTGAACCAGAAGTTACATCTTTGTGTGCAGCAGCCCTCCAGAGATTTTTCTTCCATGATTTTGTCCAAGTTTCCCTTGGATCCCCTGTAAACGTCCAGCCTCTGCAGCATCCTTTGGCAGGGAGTTGCGTAGCTGGTGAAGAAATGCACCCTTTTATTAATTTTAAATCTGCCTCCTGATAGTTCTGCCTGGTGCCCTCTAGTTCTTGTGTCAAACAAAGCATTTGCTGCTGAGGAAACAGTTGCTCAGCCAAAGCAGCTGCAGTTTATGGCATAAAGCTCCTCTTGCCTCCTGTCAGCCTGGTTTCGCTCGGAGTTCAGGGCCTGGGCCGGTGGTCAGTGGGGGTTACAATCCCGAGCTCTCCGAGTGCGTTTGGAGGTGGTTAGTCACAAGATACCCGGGCTTTGGGGAGGAGGGGATGGATGATAGCTAGTGGGAGGGTTATTTGCCTCCTGAGCTCTTTCCATCCCCACCTTTCTGGAGGTATTGTCAGTAAATACTGAAGAAAACCTGAAAGCAAACCCTTTTGTCAGCAGCACGTCCCTGTGATGTTCCCTGCTGCATCCGTGAGCCCTGACAGATGAGGGGACACCATCTTCTCTTGCTGGGTCCGCTCCTGAGAGAGGAATGCTGCATGAGGTGCCTCCTTACGAGACTGCGCTTTGAGGCACGTTGCCCTTACGAGGAGTCTGCTTCTGTTGTTTTCTGTCTGAAGGGCCACGTTAGTTGTCTGGACTATAGATTTGGTAAAACACGTGGTGGCTTCTGTCTGGGAGTCATTGCAAATAGCAGGAGCCTGGAGTGTTTCCTTCGCCGGCGTTTCCTTGCCTGCCTCTGCTGAAAGCCCTTGGCCCTCATTCCCAAACTAGGGTGGTGGTGCCTTTCTCATCAGGTGTTTCTCCCGCATTTCAAATTCTGCATTTTCACAGTTTAAAAAAAAATTAAATAAACGCAGGGAATAAATGAGGAGTCTGGCCTCTTGTGGCTGTGCTGGAACCGTACAAGTACGCAGCGAGGTCTGGAGGAAAAGGTAATGGTTTGTGTCAGACCAGTGGATGGAGTTGGGGGGAAAACCAGAACAGCTTTTAGGCACGCGGGCCCAAACAGAGACCACAAATTTCAGATGAGCACAGACAGTTGCTGCGAGCATAACTTCGTTATGTTAATCAGTTAGGCACTTTGAGACGAAAGGGTGTTGGGCATCTGTGGAGCAGAGGGGGATGATGTCCGACTGTCTCGGTTAGCCTAGTAAATGCTATTATCTCTCGCTGCAAACCTTGCTTTGCGTATGCCACGACGGCTGCCGAAGGGAAAAGAAAAACAGGGTCCCGGTGGTTTGTGCGAAGTGGTCTTCCTTAGCGTCACGGGCTTGGGGCAGCCTCTCAGGACTCAGGACCCATTTATTTCATGCCGGACGCTAAAAGACTGGAAGGAAATCAAGGCTCCAGCAAGCTGGGCTGGGTTCGGTTTGCCAGTCCAAAGCCTGAAAGCCTCTGGATCCTGTTAATAATTCCTTGATCCGTCCGCGCGTCCCAGTTTAGTGCCTGAGAATGGGACAGCGAGGTAAGACTGGGCTGAGGTCAGGGCAGAGCTGCGAGCAACGTGCTGTCATAAATACAAAACCCGTAGCGGTGTGGTTAACAAAGACGAGTCCTGTGTGCTCTGGAAGCCCTGGACGGAGCCAGCTCTCCCCCTGCGAACACAACAGACACCCTCTGTGTTTGGAGAGTGGCTGTGCCTGGGGGCAGCGGTCCCGGCTAATTGGGAAGCTGTGATTAATGGGTAGTGCCTGTTTCTGACACAGGTGGTGTTTCTGCACATTAAAGTGGCTGCCTTTATGGAGGTTTCTCTTATTGAATTATAGGGAATGCGCTTGATACCCCCGCAGCCTCGGGATATCAGACCAAAAGGTAGCAGGAGAGTCTCTGTCCCCTCCTCCCTCTCTTCCCTTCTGCCCCTTTTTTGTTGTTTTCTTGCAGGAGGGGTGAATTTAGAGACGTGACTTTTTCTTTCAAGCACTTCCTATCTATTTTTGTTATTTATTTTATTCCCAGCTGGTTTTGCTGCCACTTTGTGGACTCCACGTGCCTCCTGTTCTGCACTCGCCGATGCGGTTTGTTGGCTAGGAGACTTGCCGCACACCACGTCTTGAGATTTACCGAGCCTAGCTGATATGTTTAATTTATAACTGCTGCCTTAATTGAATAATCTGATTTAATCTGTCACTCCATGCACGATCCAAACAGTCTCCAGAGGGGCTCAGCCAAGAATACAAAGGGAACGTGGGCTCTGGGGTTTGCTGCGCAGGTCCGGGGTGGTGGGGATGCACGGGGGCTGCAACCGCCGGGATGCTTGTACGGAGCTTGCCGCAGTCGCAGCACCAACAGCTTGGCATCTCTACCGCAGAGGGAAGAAACCCTTCTCTGTCGTTTCCACGGGATATATCCGAGCCCTGCTGCTCTCTTTTCTGCTACACGAAGCAGGACAGACGATGGCAGGACTGTGAGAAGGTGGATGATGATTAAACCGATGATAACAGGGCATCTCCGAGGGTGCAGGATTCCTGCCAGTGCTCTGACTGGGGACAGCGATGGTGGGAGGCAGCTCGGCCGTGGCTGAGCGATGCTCTCCCTCGGCAGGTGTTGATGTTTGTTTCTTTTTAACAAAATCCACATTAAATATGCCATCTCCTAACGTGTTGGAAAGAAACAGGCAGGTTGTTCCTGTGGTCCCAGGAGCTAATGGCAGTCTGGATGCCACAACCGGTTCATGCAACCGAACAGCTACAAGGCGCAGGGTTGTGCTTCCAGGGCACTTTCAGAAATGATTGTGCTCTCCGTCTGGTTAGGTCTCCTTTGCCTTTTCATGTGAAGATGCAGGGGCACTGGGGTGAAGCAGTGCACGCTTCGTAGGGATCAGCAGAAAGCATCTCCTGTCTGAGGTTATAAACCAAAGGAGGGTATTTTTCGAAAGCAGTTTTGTTTTGTTTTGTTTCATGATCTCATATCCTAAACATTATGGCAGAGAAAGAAGGCCTCTTTGATATAGGTACATCGCGTTTGCCAGGCAGTGGTCACTTAGAGGTGGGGGGTTCAAAACCACCACTTCCCAGTGCTGATTTTCTAAACCTTTTGGATTGAAGTATTCTGGTGCAACTCTTCCTGAAGTTGAATAAGGAGGGAGGAAGGAAAAGTGTTTTGAGTAAAGGGTAGTGCAGAAAATCTATTCTTTAATGATAAAATTACAAACTTTGAACATGCTGAGCAGCTATAAAGTTGACATCAGTTGGCATTTCAAAGCTGAAGGAAAATGAGTGAGCAGGAATATCATCCTGCCCTGATCTGAAGGAAATTGGTTTTATTTTGGACAAGATAGGATCCTTTACAAGTCCTGTGTTTCCGTGTGCGTAGCACTTGTTGTACCGAGGCAGGTTGCCTGCGAGTCGGGTCAGACTTTGCAAGGAAGGAGCTTGGGTCCAGTGTGAGGTTCATCTTCAAAGCTGAAGGAAAATGAGTGAGCAGGAATATCATCCTGCCCTGATCTGAAGGAAATTGGTTTTATTTTGGACAAGATAGGATCCTTTACAAGTCCTGTGTTTCCGTGTGCGTAGCACTTGTTGTACCGAGGCAGGTTGCCTGCGAGTCGGGTCAGACTTTGCAAGGAAGGAGCTTGGGTCCAGTGTGAGGTTCATCTTCTCCCACATCCCAGAGCCACCGGCGGTGGGGCTGGACGAGCGGTTCTTCGGGGATGCGCAGACCCTGGTCTGTGGATGCAGAGCCTGGGCAGAGGGGAGCGATCCCACGGTGGGTATGGACCTGGAGACATCACCCCCTGGTACCCTGAGCCCGGGCGGTCTGAGAAGCACCGCTGAATGAATTGATTTGATAAATGGACATTTATTACACTCACAAATTGGCTGAAACCAATTTCGGTCACATCAACCCCTGATAACTGCTAGGGTATTGATTTGTGTAAAGTAATACAGTGAATTTATCAGTTCAATAGCAAGCTGAAGGGCCTCTCAGAGACACAGCGCTACAGTTACGCCGTTACAGATGTACAAAATAAAGTGAGAGCACTGCAGCGACGCTGGAAATGGCTCCAAAGAAGAAGGCCCAGGCGTCATCATCAGCCACTTTGCTTGGACATTGGGTCTGAATGTCTTAATGAAATTTCAGCAAAGCAGTGTGACCTACCTCCTTTTATTTATTTATTTATTTCTGCCACCCCTAAAGTT